TTTCGATGAGAGGTTTTTTTTACATTTTCAGTGAATGAAGACAACGATATTTGGTGGGGTCTGATCATACATTTGGTGTGGTATGTCATTATAAAGCAGTCGGGTTCTATAATCTTACGATTCCAGATGTTATGGAAATTGTACCGGAAGTGGGAAATTATTTGCAACAACCCTTAAAAACCATAACGCTGCAAGATACAGTTTAGGATAAATGAAGGCAAAGTTGCCGCTTTTTGTAACTACAAAAACGCATTTAAAATTTTTTTTAAATCTTTGAAAATAACTGAGATATCACCGAAAAACTAACAATGCCAAAGGTCGTTTTCATTTTCCCTAGCTTCTATGGGCACTTTTTTTTTGGAGAATCTGAATCTGTTATTAGAATTTCCATTACACGCTACATGCTACTACTTATTTCTTATGAGCGTCATATTGGATTTTTACGGAATGAGATAGAGGACAAAAAATACTGACGTCTCGCACTCTATACTTTTACATAAATTTTCTCAACCAAACATCCACAGCTAACTAGATTCTGCTGAATCAAAATACCTATGATGTCGATGCAGTCAAATGAATTTCTTTTTTTGTTCTCCATCTGATTCCGTAAAAATCCATTATGACGTCCATAAGAAATAAGAAAGTAGTAGTATGTAGCTTCTAGCGTGTGATGAAAATTCCGAGCAAAATTCTAATAACAGATTCAGATTCTCCCGAAAGAAAGTGCTACCGTCCATTTCCCACCGTTTGCGCTAAATAAAATTAAAACGAACTTTGACTTTTGCAGTTTTTAGGTGATATCTCTTATTTCTTATTTTCAAAGATTTTTCAAAAATTTCAAATGCGTTGTTTTAGTCACAAAAAAGGGCAACTTTGCCTCCATTTACCTACACTGCGTCTCTCGCGGTTACGGAGATCCTAAAGGTGGGTTATGAATTCTGATAACTCTTTACATCATGTTTAGGAACACTTTGTATAGTACATATGTAAATGCGGTATGAGCACTTTTGGAAGAAAAGGTTTGTCGGACTTTTTTCTGATTTTCCGAACTTGAGTCCAGATTTTAAGGAAAGGGTTTGAGATTTTAACAATCTAATTTCACTGCATTGTTCCGTTGTTCTTGACAATATCAAAAATAACTACTTACTTTCGTCCCTTAAAATGGTGAACGTGAGGAAAGTAAAAAACAATTGCTGCGTTAATGTTAATAATGACATTTCAAATTGAAACATCCGAATCTAGATTGCTATGTGTCAAACTTCATTATTGAATACGATAATTCTTCAATTATGATTGTAGCTTGAGAAAAAATGATGTGTAAAACTTGAGAAAAAAGTATTTTTCAACTCTCGTTCAATTGACACATCGCTACAGTCATGTGTCAAACTTTGAACTCGAGTGGAAAAACTGCACTTTCTTCTCTAGTTGTACAAATAACTATTTTTCACCTTCACGTCAGTGGCTTACTCAAACTTATGCTAATTATAATATTTCTCCAATGTGAACCCCGTATAAAATTTCGTTGATATTCATTTCAGAAAAATTTCGGCACATTGGACCATAATTAATTTAATTTTGTTTATTTGAAATAGGGCAGTTCTCAGAAAAAAAAGATATATCGAGTGGCTTTCTGTAATGCAGAACCTCATCCGTCTCGGACAATCAAAACGGTTACGTTAGTTCAAAAGATTAAATGAGTCAACTTCGATTATTAAAATATTATTCTGAGGTTAGGTAACTAATTAGTGAAAATCTGCGTTATTCCCATAAAACTAATTTTTCGTAATTTATTCATAATAAAACTTTTACTTTGCATAGAGCCGAAATCATTACACACATAAAAAAGGTTGAATTATTCAAAAATAGTCTTGTTATTATCTCATCTTATTGTTTACAGCTTGGTTGGCTGCAATCGTATAAGAACGTAAGACGCTTTTTTTTAATTTTCCACATGGTCTCCGACCTTAAATTACAATTGCAAATCGGAAAGTTAAAAATATTTTACTCCATTGAGGATTTCTGCCCATTTGTCATCGAGTATTATAATTATGATCCGGGTCCAAACCATGTTTATACATTGCACAGTAATTTTTATTGGCATTAAACTTTTTGTTAAGGTCATGCCACCACATTTCCTCTTTTAAGTTTTGTTGTGGTTCCGATTTATCCTGATAGTTCTGTATTCTTTTTACAGTTCATGACTTCAACATGATGGGTGCATGTTAATTGCCGAAACTACACATTCATTTGGGAAGAGGGTCTGGGTTCACGATGTATACATTATTTAAATGAATTGAAATTTCTAACACCGAAATGTATAACAAATTCATGACAATGCTTTCCAGAAATAAGTGACGTTAGTTACTTAGTGTCTGTCACCAGCGTATAGCGAAAGCTGTTCGCAATAATAATTTTCACTTTCTTGGATACGTGGAAATTAGTTAATTGTAATTCAAGGCCATTTTAGATTTTCAAACGAATTTTTCTCGATTTGGCATACCGACGGTGACACGTGTTGCATTTCAAGAGGAATTTGCATAAGAGCCACCGCGAAAGTTGAGAGGTTGATTTTATTTTTATAAGGGCGTCTGTCAAGATCCGGTTTTTTATTGCAGGAATTTCTCAGCTCTGCGCAAAACAACTTTCAGTACCACCTTTAAAAGTCGAAAAATTAGCACGACAATAATTGGCCAGACTCAATTAAATGGGTCAAATTAGGTGCATTCCACTTGCTAATTGATGCGTACTACAAGTACATAAAGGCAATAATTTATTGGATTAGAATAACGAACTTGATATAGAAACGAGGAAATTGATAATTTAAAATCATATTTCTGTTAGTAAATCAAGAGAAATCTAGTAATTAACGAGTGAACTTTACAAAATACGCGGTGTACACAGGAAAACCGGAGCAGTAAACTAATTGGATAATTAATCGAGAATTTACATTCCTTTCCATTATACTAATCGTATATGTAGGAATGTTATTCTAATACGAGCATGATTGGAGCTTACGATCAGTATTCATTAAATTTATTTGGCAATTGTGATTTCAAAAGAGAGCATGAAAGGGGAAAGTAAAAATGCCGATGTCGTCCTGCCTTTTTGTCGACCAATTAACTACAGTGAGATGTTTGCAGAAGAAAAAGCTAGTATTAGATAGGTAGCTTGACCATAAAGTGAAGTTCTAGGTCATTAGAGCACTACATTGTCTAGCAGAGAGTTGCACTTTGAAAGTTAGTAGTATGAAAATTGTTTTATGTAAAATTGCATACTTCTTTACAGAATACAGATCTACTTTAGCGAATTATCACGTTATTCTATTTTTCTATATGCGGTCCATCTATCTTTTAGGTAAAAAAATCTAGCTTTATGCATAGTATAATTTAGGACTGGTAGATCTAGTAGTTTTTATTGAAATTTTTGCAAGGAAAAAAAATGCGAATAGGTATCTCGGTGTCGTAAGCCAGTATTAAGCTACTCACAAAAGGAAAGTGATAGGTCTCTACGAGACCCATCCAACGGTACCACGATTCAGAAATGTTCGGCGAGCCACTGACGAAGATCTTTATTTTCGTACTTCTGGGACTTGCAACAAATAAAAAATTCTAAAGTGGCACTTGGCGAGTGCTAACGGAAGTAACTATTTCTTTCTCTCTCACAATCCTTGGTTCCCTTCTTTTTGCCGCGATCTATCATAGAAAAAATATTGCAAGTTTGGTGGGTTCGAACCAGCGTCTTTATAATCTGTAGGCGACGACCGTGCCGCTGCGCTACGCACGTGCGTCTTACGTTTATGGCATAAACCTAAGATTTGAAAAATAGTGAAACATTTACCGAGGAGTTCAGAGATGCGGTAGTCCCTAATCCCTTTCCGCGTTTTTCCATCCTTTTGTTTTGAAGCATCTATATCCTTCTTTTGAAAGTGGGTTTCGATTGTCCCCATTCTTCCTTATGCTTTCATTCGAAAATTCGTATACTGTTATTTCATTTTGTTTGTCTCTGTAGGCGGCTAGAATGTGAAGTGCGACTATATAGACACAGCCACATAAACAGGGCAAAATATGGGTTCACATCTCGCTGATTTACGATATAATAAATATATTTCCTTCATTTGCAATTTGCACCACTTTCTATATTTTGGATACTAAGCAGTAAAGTTTGGTTACCTATTGTACCCAACAAAATTGGTGCGCATAAATAAAATTTGCACCAGTGAACCTTGCACGGTGTCCTTTTCGATAACAAAAATCGAAATTGACACGAAATGCAGGAGGTTTCAAAACTGTTTGCCCCTGTTATTCAGCAGTTCTATTATATATTTTAGTAGTTATGTTTATACTTTCGTTTTCAAATTAGCAGCACCTTTTTGAAGTCTCAAGGCTTTACGTAAAACGGAATCCAATATGACTCATTCCTAACACACTAAATAAATTTTTTTAATGGATCCAAACCGATTCTCCAATCACATAATGTTTTGGTAATTTTTTTTAATTTTTGATAATTTAAAAATAATTATTCTTTTGCCATATACTTAAATAGCAAAAAATAAATAAGTTTTTTGTACACAAGCATATATGAGCTTAAACTACTATGTGATTATTTACGATTGCTGCCTGCCTAATTGGAAACTATTACCATTAATAGTAGTAGCATATTAAGTGCATCTAAATAGGAATTTCAAACTTTTTATTAAAATAAAAAGAACAGTCGAGCTTCGGGGAATAATGTCTCAACTGCAATAATTAGTTTAGTTATTAAGTTTAAAGAATGTGAAAGTCTGTTATTACAAATTGCGAACTTTTAATTTAATCCGCAATTTTCACGAGTCCAGAAAAAGTAATTAATAATCTCCATGACTTCCTGCTAGTTAGATAATTAATCAAATTTGATTATTTAAAAATTACGTACGCCACCGGTAATTTTCGGCACATCTTGCCCAACATTTGTTTTCTGCATGAAGTTAGATCAAAACTCAAAAGGAAGATTCCTAATTAGCACTTTTTATCGATACAGTTTACAGTTAGCAGAAAGTATGTGCTCGTAGTATACTGTTTAACTGCGTCACGCAAATAAATCATTTCTTCTTTTTCAGACGGTAGAACGATTGGATAAAAGGAAATATTATTGGTACATGTAATTATAGATCATTAAGGTGTCATGTTTTTCGCCTTCCGAAGAATGCAGGATGATGAATACATCTCGA